ACAGAACTACTTATATGAAAGACAGAGATCAAGTTTGCTCCAGACCTTGATTATAACTCTTTCTGCTGAGGATTTTTGATTTCAAGATCTCAATCTCCTTTGCTGGCCAAACTTCTTTAATAAATCTTTAGCTGGAAGTTCTAGTTCAATAATTGCAAAAGAGATTTGCTCTCTTCTCACCAACTTTAATGTAGCCTACATTATGAGGTTGAATTAGAAACCAATGCAAGCGGACACATATCTCCCGTGTTGTAGCTTCTTCTTTTAGTTTCCAACTTGTAATGTTTAAATTTTCTTTTTTTCTTTTCAGTTTCATGTGTATTTGAAACTATTTGTCCTTTTATTAAAAAAAAAATCTAAATCATTATATTTTATTAATTATTTTTTGAAGTGAAATAGAGATATAAAATAAATATAAATAAAATATAAAAAATAATGAAATTTCTATCTTCAAATTTGTCTTAGTTATCCTTTAAGTTTTAAAATATAAATTTATTTTTAAATTAATCTAATGTATAAACTATGTTGATAACTTTATATTTGTGTAGTTAAATAAGAACAAGTCAATTATTAAATCAGTTTAATTTTTATCAATCTAGTTAGTCACATTGCTTTTTGTTCTTTCAATTTTCTTTGTTACAATTTTAAAGTCAATTTTTTCCTACATAAATAATTATATTTTTTCATTAATTTATATTACTATCATCAATATTTTGTTGTCCATGACATTAGATTTTAATCATGTTACCCTTACTATAAATAATAAAGACTAGATTGATAACAACAACAAACTTAAGGATTAAGATGATAAAACTTAAGTCAGCTAGAGAGATCACGTTAATAATTAATAATTGAGATAAATTTAAAGGATTTGAAGTTTTATTCTTGCAAATATAACGTATCAATAAATTTCTCATCTATAATTTACTCCTGCTGTCATTAATTAATGAGTGAAAAATATTTTCTAAAACCAGAGGTTTGTGCACCTCAGTACAATTATGGCTTTCTTTTTCGAACCGGGTTACGAAAGGCTTCAAAGAAAAGCAAAAGAGGAAGCTCTGTGGACGGGAAAGTTTGGACTTCCCACTTGGAAAGGAACTCAGTTAGACGCCAATCAACATTCCACCGTCTCATCCCTTCCACTCCAACTCTCTCATCTCATCTCTGTAATCTCTCAACTCACCCACACCACACACTCCTTCCTCCCGCTTCCATTTTTACCCCTCCCCACCTTCCTCTGTTTTCCGAATTACCCCTTCCCTTGTTCACTTCCTCTACCCTTCCTTCACTTCTTGGAGATCCCATTTTAGTAATTCACCACCAATCATGGTTTTTATTTTCATTAACGTTGCCAGGAAATTGACATGAGCTTCAGGCTCCATCATTCATTATTCCCCATTATTCCTTCAGTTCTGCGTTTTAGTTTGAAGACTTGCACAGTGCCCATTTTCTTTTTTTATATATGTAAAGGAAATTTAAATCCCAAAAGATGACCTTGAGCTTGAGCCTTTCAAACCTTTTCTCTCGCCTTTCTGTTTCATCACCAAACCGTACTGTAGATGCACTGTGGTGAGCCAGGAATCTATCTCTGCCATGGTGGATCGTGATCAAGGGAAAACTACAACTGATACTGGTGACGTGTCCCTGAAAAGAAAGCAGCTTCTTTCCACTGCCATGAAGAGAACAAGTGAATGGCATGTTTCTGACTGAATTCTGCGTCTTTTAGTGTGTCTTCTGTCAGATACTTCAAAACTGCTCCGGCAATGTACATTTGTTGTTAACTTTTCTGGATAGAACGAGGATTTCTGAAATTCGTGTGTCGAACTTCTTGTAGGATTTTTTCCCAGGAGATTCCCAGTGATGTTACCGTTGAAGTTGGAGGAGCTTCTTTTTCGTTGCATAAGGTACGAACCAATATTATTACACTTCGAATTGTTCCATCTTGTTGCTCTGAGTATCAATAAAATTGAATTATTTTATATATCTTGGACTGTAATTGCAGTTTCCATTAGTGTCCAAGTGTGGATACATTAGGAAACTGATATCAGAATCTAGTGAAGCGGATGTTTCCCTCATCCAACTTCATGATGTTCCTGGTGGAGCAGAAGCATTTGAACTAGCAGCTAAATTCTGCTATGGGATAAACTTCGAAATAACCATAGATAATATAGCTATGCTTCGCTGCGTAGCAGAGTATCTTGAGATGACGGAGGATTATTCAGTTGGAAACTTAGTGGCAAGAACAGATGCTTATTTGAACGAAGTGGGTCTTAAAAGCCTTGCAGGAGCCGTGTCTATCTTACACGTGTCAGAGAGCCTCCTTCCTATAGCAGAGAAAGCAAAAGTGGTAAGCAGATGCATAGATGCTATAGCATATATAGCCTGCAAGGAAAGCCAGCTTTGTACTACTTCAAGAAGTGATGGTGGAACTGAAGGAGTGGTTTCTTCCATGGCGTCTCACCAGAGGCCTATAGTTGACTGGTGGGCCGAGGATCTCACGGTCCTCAGGATTGACATTTTCCAAAGAGTTCTGATTGCAATGATGGCAAGAGGGTTTAAGCACTATGCTATTGGTCCTATTTTGATGCTCTATGCTCAGAAGTCCCTACGAGGTTTGGTGAGATCCCTCACTAAATTGATCGAATATCATGTTTAGGAAAACCTTGTTTTGTCTGACCCATGTTTCTTTTATTTATGTCATTCAATCATTAAAATCTAACTAGGATATTAAGTTGATATGTTAAGTTGAAAGCAGTGTTAACAATGATGAGTATTTTAATGATTGTAACGGTTAGATTGAAATGAATGATCTATGAATCCTGAACTCTTTTCTTTATATGTTTTTGAGTACAGGAAATATTTGGAAAGGGAAGGAAGAAGATTGAACCAAGACAAGAGCATGAGAAGAGGGTTGTTTTGGAGACAATAGTGAGTCTTTTGCCAAAGGAGAAGAATGCAATGTCAGTGAGCTTTCTTTCTATGCTGCTTAGAGCAGCAATATATCTTGAAACGACCATTGCTTGCAGGCTTGACTTGGAGAAGAGGATGGCGATGCAATTAGGACAAGCTGTTTTAGATGATCTTCTTATCCCTTCTTATTCATTCACTGGGGACACATTGTTTGATGTGGACACTGTGCAGAGGATCATGATGAATTACCTTGAATCTGAGACTGCGAACCACTCGGTCTTCACTGCAGATAGTGAGTATTTTTCTCCTCCACAATCTGATATGGAGCGAGTTGGAAAGTTAATGGAAAACTATCTTGCTGAAATAGCCACTGACCGTAATTTACCTGTTCCAAAGTTCATTAGTCTTGCAGAACTAATTCCTGAAAAATCAAGGCCAACAGAAGATGGTATGTACAGAGCCATAGACATCTATCTTAAGGTAAGTTCTAATCACCATGCATGCTTTCTGTACCGAGTTAACCTTACTATTAGATAATTCGTTTCCCTCCTTTAGTATGCATAGGACAAAACTTGCAGTCTTATATACAGCTCATTACGTGTTAATTGCCCGATTCTTAATTAAATTATGTCATGTGAATGAGTTCTTGGTTTTTACAGAATTTAATAGCTAACATCTTAGCATTGCATTCAAGTTTTTCATCATTTAAGGAAGGACTTGTGTTTCAGAAACAAATATACCTGTCTCTTAGAGCAAATTCCCTCATCTCTTTGAGTTGACTTTATGTCTAGATATCATCATGGTTGAACTTAAAAACAGTTTTTTTTTTTTTTCAAATTCTAGAATTTGATTCTAACATGATTTCTGATCTGGGATTCTTAAAAGTCAGCTTGATGTGAATAGCTGCTGATAAAGTTGGAATTGGCAATTCTTATAGGCTCATCCTGATCTAAGTGACATGGAAAAGAAGAAAGTTTGCAGCGTGATGGACTGTCAAAAGTTATCACGAGAGGCATGTGCTCATGCTGCACAAAATGACCGGCTTCCTGTCCAAACGGTGGTTCAAGTGCTCTACTATGAACAGCAACGTCTTCGTGATGCCATGAATGGCAGCGAAGGTGGGGAATCAGCTCTTTCAGTACCCTCCAAGCTCAATGTGTACTCAGCTGATCTCCACCCAGTTTCAAATGAGCTATCCAGCTTACGAAGAGAAAATGAGGACCTAAAATTAGAGCTAGTGAAGCTGAAAATGAGACTAAAAGAGATTGAGAAGTCTGGAACAATCAAATCAGTAGCTAGCAGTCCAATGACAAGTGCTTCACCTTCTGCTGATAAGCCTCCTTTGCCTCGGAAATCATTCATAAATTCAGTGTCCAGAAAACTTGGAAGGCTTTCTCCCTTTCTGCGTTCTGATGGTGTCAGACCCTCTGCTAAAGGTCGTACAAAACCAAATAAAAATCGACGCCACTCCATATCTTAATATCTCCAAGGGTTTTACTTTGGTCCTTTGTTCTTGTCTAGTTTTATTTGATTGTTGTGATGGTCCTGTATATTATCTTATCATGAACGTCTTGTCAAGAACTACATTGTTTGAAAAAATAGTGTAAAATATAGAGTTTCTGAGTGATTGATTATGATGACGGTCTGATACAAGATTGTGTTAATAAAGCGACATTAGATGCTGCAAAAATTTAAGAGTAGAATAGTGGATTACAGAAGTTAAATGGGGTACATCCATAACTTACTGTTCTTACGAATAAAAAGCTTTGAGAAAGCTGAGAATAATTCAGTCGACAACCTAGCAGTGTCTTTGTTGAAGTCCGAGCCTAATAATCAAATCAGCAAAGAGATCATGATTTCACCACAAATCAAGAATATTCTAAGAGCATTAATGGTGTAAAGTAAAAAACTCATATCATGAAACAGCCCTTGCTTGGACTTGTCGAAAGTTGTTAGGCACCTGCATGGAATCTACCGTTCATCTGATTGCAGACGAGAAGTAATCTCCAACTTCTTGTTGGCTGGAAAGTTTGTGATTGTGAAATATATGGGGAAGGTTTGGGTTCGGGGGGGGGGGGGGGGTTGGATAATTGTCCACGGGTTCTATCGGGCAAAATAAACATGTTAATACTACCAATTTAAAGTCTATTAAAAACATCATGTTCGAAAGGAAATATTCTGTTAATCTGATACAGGGTAGCAGCTAGACTATGTTTTCTTGTAATCTAGTTTGTGAATGATAGGTGGAAAGTAGAGTCAGAATAAAGAAATGAAAAATCACTTATCTGCATTATTTAATTCCTCCTTTTCCATAATTACATATCCAGTCTTCCAGATGAATGGCAAAACTACTGCGAGGGCTTTAATAAGCTTAAAGGCATTGCTGTTCGCCATAATCAACAAAATGATCGTTTTCATGGCTTTAACAGATTATGATGCTGAATGTGACTGGAGTTCACCGGGGAAACAACTTATATTAAACTTCATCAAACCCCACCACACTTGACGAGTAGCCAGAACATTCCACACAAACATCATCCACAAAGTTTAGCCATAAACAGCAATTTAACTGTGTATTGAATCAAGTCATGTTCAGACTCAACACTTGAAAAGGCCAAGGTGGCTGTTTTAGCCTCTCTTGACTTGATCGTTCTGCAAGATCATCGAAACTGTTTCTCATTCCACTTGAATCTTCTCTTGTTTTCTTGTTTATATGGCTGGATACAGTGGAAGAAGAAGACAAGCTATGTCCAGAATCCGAAGTTAGTGGTGTATCAACTCTCTTTCTACGGTTGTAATAACTTGAGGGGCCTAGTGTCAGCTCAATCTCAGACTCATCTATGATCTCTACCTCATCACCATCAGATTCTGCACTGTACTCTTCCGCTGGCCGTTCAAGATCAAATTTGATTTCCGGCTTTTTCTGTGTATCTTTAAGATGATTAGTGGCTTGAGCTAAACTAATCGCTTTCTTCATGTTCCATCCTCGTTGGGTTACTTGAACTACTCTTCCATTTTCCACATTCTTCATTAGCGTCTTCTGGATCTGGTACAAACGATGGAGTTCGTACACCTGTAATATAACATGAACATCGTCGGTTATTCAAGCTCTAAATGATCAATAACCCAAACTTTAGAAAGAGAAGTACCTGCTCTCTGAAAGTCTCTTCATGTTTTAAAATGGCCATCCTCATGAATTCCTTATCGCTTGGCTTAATAAGCTTCTCCATGAGTGCGCTCTTTAGCTTGAATGATGGACGGTCAATTCTGTCCTTCTTGGGAATTTGTGTTCAGGCCTGCATCTTCATTGCATATTGTTTCAAATACTCCTCCTTATTGTCACGCTTCTGATGTGAAGAAAATTTTTAAATGAGAATGTACCCGATAAATGAAAGATGCTTTAGCAGAGAAGAGGATGAAGCAACAAAAGCATTGCTATAATGGCCTTGAAACACAAACACAAAATGATGACATCAACTTCCTTTTAGTATAATTTGTCTGTTCCCTTGCTTGCTATCCTTCCAAAACTTTGGACCACAATAGAATGAACAGCTAAAAAAAAAAAAAAACATATCTCCCAACACCTTTGATGTGTAGATTTATCCTATTTCTAGGAATTCCTTCTCAAATATATGAAATCTGATATCATTAATCGTATTATCCTTTCGGTTGCTGGCAGTGAAATAAATATACAAGGAAAGAGTTTCACTTCTTTTCATATGCCGAAATTATTAAATACCTTAAGTAGTATCATTGAAATTAAGACAGAGAGAAAGTAATTGAGTTGTTACTAAAAAATTTTCAACTTTCTTTTTCCCTCATTCACAATCATGGCACCATCTACCTGAAGTAATTTGCAGTACCTATTCATGATGGACATTTTCTTTTCCAAACTATCAGCAGAGAATTAGGTCCTGTTACTCCACCAGTTTTCATGAAATGAAAGAAGCAAACTAGGCAATGCTTTTGCTCTTTTCTTTTTTTGCGGGGGTGGAATGAAACAGCTGACTTTCACCCCAGAAAATTTATTTTTGCCTGTATGTTTATTCTGTACTCACTCTAAAATGTGGGTTTTCTTACCTACATTGCATCCTATAGGTTTTCTTACCTACATTGCATCCTCAAGAAGAATGCAAAATGAAAATGCTATCTATCGTGAACATTAATTGGATTAACATGAGAGTCAGCTTAAAAAAACTACAGAGCCAATGAATTCTCTGAAAAAGATGGATGAAATAAAGTTTAGACTCTGACCTGTGAGGACTGAATGTGATTTCTGCTGTGAGAAAGAAGACAACAAAACAAAAAGGATCTATTTCAATGAAAGGCAAGAAGTTCCTCCTTTCCCTCCAACTTTAGCGACAACTCTTTTGAGAACTCTGCTCTCACATTCCCCATCAGTCTCGTCAGTGGGTAGTATATACTGCTGGACATGGAACATATAGTCCAACACGACACAACTGTTGAAGAATTTAAGATTCTCCCTCAAAATTACCCACAGAAACCAAAGCGCTATGCTAATGCATGGGGTTCGAGGCATGCCAAACAAATCTCAGTGCCTTGACCAATGCGATTCAAGTTTTGCGGAACAGAGATGCCTGAGACAGGGCTAGCAATGAAGATATAATAAATTAATCGGATTAAACAAATACTACATGATTACTATATTTTAGTGTTCGCATTTATGAAATTGTTGAGGATCACAAGGCATTGGTTTGCTCAAGACAAATCATCAAAAGAACAGCTTAGCCTGTTGAGGTGAATCACATGCACCTGCCATTTCTTAGTGACAAACACAGTTGTCTCAATTAAAAATTACACATTATGTTCCAATATAATTGAAGCGTGCCTATATTGAAGGAGCTCAAGGTGGCATCTTCTCTGCCGCTGACTGATGGGTCTGACCGTACGATCAGTGGGTACCTCACGTTAACTCTCCATTGTACAAACTAATAAGTACTCCGTTTTCACAAGGGACCAAACTCATGGTCATGGGTTTATTCTGTATCATTGTTATTCTATTGATTCAATTACAAGAGGAAAAAGGCAAGAAGGAAGTATCAATTATAGATGTTTTGTACCTGCACAGGATATTGCGAAATGTTGCTTTGTGGGTTTTTAGCCTCCCACGCAAGGAAGACATGGTGCAATGATTATAGCCGTTAAGTGGCCAAGTTTGGCAAGTTATGTGAAAAAAGAAAATTAGTCCAAGTTGCCAGACGGGAGTACGCGACCACTGGAAACAAGGGGGAAAAAAAAAAAGCACATGGTGAGTGTCACTTGAGTACTATTTACAAACAGCTTATGTGCAAACAAGTATTATGACAAAAACGCATAAGCTGCTCAGGAGAAAAAATGTCTTCAATTACAGTGGTTTAGATAGGCATGGAAAGACGCATTTGAACTGTATAATAATGCAGTTAAGAAATATAGGCTATTTAATTGGATAATACAGAGCAGATGAGTTAGAACTTGGAAGTCTGCAATTTTCTCTCTCTTTCATACAAGAATCTGCATCATGTAATGCACGAATATTTTAAAGAGAGAAAATGAGAATAGGGCCAGAGAGAGAAATGGACATGGAAGCACGCGTTGCCGGGTCTGCAAGGTGCATTGGTATGGGGTGGTGGGACCTTCGGGTTTGCTGAAAAGCCTGAGCTACCGCTACAGGCTTGCGCTGTTCTTTGGTCCCACCTGCAATAGGTCCACTCTGTGACCTTCTCAACAATTTTCTTCTCTCTTTTCTTTTTATATTCAAACACCGCCAACAAATATTCATGGGGTCACCACCACCCACAGGACTGATGACCGTTCCTATTCTCACCGATTTAAATGGTCTTTTTTAAGTTATTTTATATAAAAAAGATGGACTATTAATCATTTTTATTATGTACTGGTATTTTTATTTTAAATTAAAACTTTAAAGTATTGTAATTTAAAATACAATAAGCCATTATATATATATATTTTTAATAAAAATTCAAACTTTATTTTATTAGCTTGTGAGAGATTAATCTATCCCGTTAAAGTCAATACTTATTAGTAAAAAAATTATTATTCAATAAATTTTTTTAAAGATAATAAATTTAAAGGTAAATTGAGAAATTTTTTTAAATATAATATATATCACTGATTGCACTACATACTATAAGATGTTCCCAACATTTCTATAGGAATTATTTTTTTTTACATTTTTAAAAATAGAAAACCATCTAAATATTATTATTATTATTTCCCCTATTAAAAAGTTGTTAAATTCACTTTTTCCCAATATATTAGAAGATTCATTAATAAGATTAAAGATAAAAATATCCAACCATTGGAGAATATTACATTACGTTATCCCTTAGATACTGTAGATTGAAAACACCTTCTAGAATAATCTTATAATAAAGTCTAGAGGGAGTATACTTATAAAATATTCCATATATGGATAGTAATTAATAATTATGTTAATCTTTTTATATAATAGAAGGATTTGAATCATTTAATTTTAAGTTAAAAAAATTAGCCGATAAGCTATAAATTTAAGAGTATTTGAAATTTTAAACTCATTTTTTATATAGTATTTTTCTTCAATTTTTTAAAATGAAGCAATCTAGCCCCTAATATTGGCAAAGATTATCTTTAATAGCTACTTAACTAGAAAATGATAAAAAAAACATAAAAATTTACAAAAAGGACCAACAAAATTCTTTTGGTCTTTTGCTGTAAGTTGCATGGTTTTTGCATGTAATTATTGGGTCTTTTATTGTAATTGTTTGGTCCTTTTTCATAATTTTTAATGTCATTTTTTTCATTTTCTCATCAATTAATGATTAAAATTAATTTTTATTCATAATAATTATAGATTAACTTGTAGATTTTTAAAAATTGAGAAGGAACATTATACCATAAATAAGTTTAGAGTCCCACTAGACACTCATAGATCAAGCCTATAATATAAGAACCAATTTTTTTTTTACTCTTTAAATAGGAACATAAATATTTTTTAAAGATGATACTTTAATAAAAAATTAAAGAAGTAAAAAATATGCAAATTTGGAAAGAAGATGTATTATTTATACTGTTAATTAAAAGGATATTCTATAAATTAAATTTTATAAATATAAAATAATTATATGTGAGGAGAATTGCATAATTTAGATGAACTACGGCATGTATTTTAAATCTAAATCTAAAATATCATAATGTCTCACTCTTATTTATAATTTTATTTACCAATTATAAAATCTACAAAAGATTTTTTTTGCATTTTGGCAAAGAAATCAAATTTGTAATACACACATATCCTCTGGTGCTATAAGAGTTACTTATCTAACTATCTTATTGAAATTAAGTAGAGATGATTAAATTATTGACATTGTTAAAATAAATTAATTTATTTTTATTAAATTTATCATCTTTAAAAGAATTTTCTTTCTTACTGTACAAGCTGGACCCTAACCTTTTTTTTATAGATATTTGTAAAGAATAAAAGTATAATAAAATAATTAATAGTCCATCTTTTAATTTCATGCAAAATGATTTATAAGATGGATTATGATCAATTTTTTAAAAAAGATTACTTTTATATAAAACTAGATGGAACATATAGTATAGAATCCAAATATCTTTGGATTAAGGAATTTTAGAATTCACACAAGGAGATGATTAGAGTAAATTATTGTCACTTGTTTTGAAAATTATTTAAATTCTGTCATCGAGAATCACCAAAATATAATAATAGTTTTTATATTTAAATGTTCCGTTAGTCAATCACCAATGACCAAAATACAAGATTAGTTTTTACTCATTTCTTCTTAAATTATAAAATATTTTTTTTAAAAATTATATATCAATAAATTTTATTAAGTATATTTAATAGTCTTTTTTTTAATATAATATAAACTTTTAAAAATATCCTTCATTTAATAATCTCAAATCTACACTTACGTATTAAATAAAGAAAGAAAATATAATATTAAAATAAATATATTTAATAAAATCTCAATTTTTTAAAAATATTTTATATTTTAAAATGTTAAATTTTTTTAAAAATATTTTTAATTTGAGACATATTTAAATACCTCGTCTGTCATCCAACGCAGAGTCTCAAAATTAATTGCAGCTAAGAACACGGGGTCAAGCGTGGGTGGCTAAAAAGAATTTCATAAAGTGCCAAGCCAAGCTCCATGAAAATGAACGAAAGATCATAGAAAGGTGTAACGCCAAAGTTAAATAATAAGCAAAATATATTTTTTTCTATATCCCTTGATATAATTAAGTACTGCTCTCTTCATTGCCATTTATAAAAAAAAACTATCAATTTTTACTTTTTTTATATAAAAAAATTATCTGTTTCAATAAACATTTATTATATATTTATATATAAACAGAGAAAGTATTCAATTTGCTTTTTCTTTGAGGCTTAATGAGAGTTCCAATTGAAAGGGAATATCAAATATATAACGCGGCATGTAAATAATAATTATACATATTTGAGGATGCATATTGAACGGAATTATTGCAATAGTTTTTTTTTTTATTTTCTGGACATATTGGTATGGAAGAGTTAGTTGTCTTGAAAAAGAAGAGGTAGAAGTGAAAGGTATTTTGACAAAACTAATGACACATAACTGGAATGAAACAAAAGTTGTGGCCAAATAATATGACACAATAATTGAGTAAAATTACTTTGACAAGCCGTGCTATAATAGGTACATAGGCTAAATTATACATTACTCCCCATAGCTTTAAATCATATATACATATCCTTCTTAACCTTTGAAACTTTACAATGAATCCCCTTCAACCTTTATATTTATGCAAATAATTTATATGATTAATTTTATATATTAATTATTTTCTCATAATTTAAAGTTTTTGGGAGTTACTTGTATACCAATCAAAATTTGGGGGCTTAAATACACGCAAAAACAAAGTTTGAGAGGGTATATAATTAATAATTAGAGGTTATTTGTATAAATCTAAAAGCTCAAGGAGATTTATTATTAAATTTTAAATGTTAAAAAGGTTACTTGTATATGGTTTAAAGTTTAATTGATGCGGGGGTGAAAGTGAGATCGTGCTAGTTTAGGATAAAACTTGGAATAGGAATAAAAGAAGTGCAAATGAAACAAAGAAATATAAAGATGAAGACATGACAAGGGACGAAAGTAAAAATAAACAAAAAAAAATGAAGAAAGATAAGGATTAAGGAAACTGATAACTAGATTACCTGCTTCTAGGAACCTAAGCCTTTGAAACACGATAAAAGTTGATCAGACTCTTGATGATAACAGTATTCATCTTAGGATTTCCACAAGCAAGCATAGCTCGCACAAAGAGTTTTACCAAACTTAAGAGAAAATTCTTATTCATCACATGCTAGGAAGAGTACATGAGGGGCCTATTTATAGGCAAGAGAATAAAAGACTCTAGAATCCCTAATTCTAAATGACTACCTCCAAAATGGCACCACCTCCGTGACAAAATAGGAAGGTTTCTTATTTCGTGGAGATTCAGCAATAATGGCTAGATGAGAGAATTCAAAAACTTTCATAATAACTAAAGTCTTT